CGTCGAAGAGAAAGTACTGGCCTCCAGCCCCATCATGGAGGTATGCTATGAACTAATTCTTGTGAGAAAATGCGATCTAGGTCTTCACATGATGTTAATCAGTTGAGAACCACTTGATTGGCTTGCATCACAGACACATTACCAGAATAATTTGTGTTCAATTTAATAAACTTTTGCCACCAAGTACTTCCATTGTGTGCAGCAGCTGTAAAGGTGCCCTCACTTCACTCATCACTCCATCTCATTGTCACATTTGAGCTGTGAAATTAAACTCAAGAATCAGCAGGCCTGTTTGAACAGATAAGAGCAAAGCAGGCACTTGTGCCCTTCAGGAAGATAATCTGAGTGCCAATGAGAGTGGCCAAATCTCAGAGTCAATTCAGAGATATTATTACTGCGGAAATTAGCATTGGTGATAGAAGGGCCTCTTAGGATGCGAACCTAGACATAGACCATCCTTATACTACAGGTGACTCATAACACCCCAGCTCAGACAAACAAATAATCCAAAATCACGGTAATTACTCATTCTAAATTATGCCGCAAACAGGATTTTAGGTTTATCAGTTGCACCCTCTGTTGTGAAATTCTTTCTCCACCCTTCTTATGTTCCATTATGCATCAATCATAGTAATTTGATAACCTCCTTTTTCAGATTAAACCAACCAAAGAGTGACTCAAGCATAAAAAATTACTTTTTTTCCTTCTGTGCAGGCTATTGGAAATGCAAAAACCACCCGCAATGACAACAGCAGCCGCTTCGGGAAATATATCCAGATCGGCTTCGATAGGAGATATCACATCATCGGTGCCAACATGCGAACGTATCTGCTTGAGAAGTCCAGAGTAGTATTTCAGGTTTGTCTCATGTAGGAATGGTGCTTTAGGATTCATTTGCAGACCCTTGTGCTTTTCCAAGTGTTGAACATCAAAATATTTTTGCAGGCTGAGGAAGAGAGGAACTATCACATCTTCTACCAGCTCTGTGCTTCATCCTCTCTGCCAGAGTTTAAAGATCTAACCTTGAGTAAGTGGTCCAGTTAACTCGGTGACTAGTTTGGTTACTTGTAACTGTATTTTTGAAATCCAAGTGTTTTTATTTGCCATTGACTAGGGCTTGGCCGTAG